AGCAGCAAGAACTGTGCCTGCCAAGCAGTTACAGAAAGTCCTGCCAGGCCTGGAGAAAGCCAAACATGGATTGTACCAGCACCAGCACGTTTTTTTCTACAGTGGATTTCTATTGCCTATGACGTTTGTCGAAATAAGAACCGCCAGCTGAAGGTGACTAGATCAAACGCATCCCAGGGCAAAAAATCTGCGGCTCCAGCCCAAAATGCACCACACACTGAAAGCAAGGTGCAACAAAGTATTAACAGTCTCTGCAGGATCCAAGCTGCAGACATGAGAACCCACTGGCTGCTTCTCATCCATGCACAGTACCTGTTGACAATTCCCACCTAAATGCTCATAAGCAAATAAAAGAAACAAATTAGTGCATAAAAACATCAGTCTGACATTCTGTCTGTCTTCCTGCCTGACAAAAGCCCCAGAATTTCATCTGATGATTCTTCTTGCAGCCTCATAATCTGTGTTGCAAGTAACAACTACAGTTCAGGGACCAAGTAATGAAAACAGACTATGAATTAAGGCATCTCCGAAACACCTGTGGTACAAAATATAAAAAAAACCCACCTATCTTTAGCATGGAAAAATGCTTTGCAAGATGCTTCGTATTTAACATAGTCACCAAAAAGAGAGTGGAATGTCATTTCAAATGTAATCCAGACAAATAATTTAGCTATAAAATCTGCACAGGAGATTCCAGTACCATGTGCAGATACAGTTTAGCATGTAACTTATTGAAAATAAAGTTCAGCTTTATTCCCCACCCCCTCCAAAAAATATCTATAATTCAAGAAGAAACTGAAAATCCCTGAGGAAAATTTCCTCTTTAAAAAATGTCTATAAATATGATTGTCCTCTAATACTTATACAATAGCTTTTTTTCACCCCGCAGTACAATTAAAACAATGCCAATGAAGACATCAGTCAGAAACAGTCATTGAATTTTGTGAAACAAAAAAAATCAGCTTGTTGAAACTGAACATTAAGTAAACAGGCAAATTCTAACTTCTTTCTGCATTACAGCTTTGAATACATAAGACAAAATTTTAACATGTTGGGCACTTTTTGACATAGAAGCTCAGAAGCATTTTGTTTCGCACCCTTTTTTATTTTGAAGGATTTTCAGATGGTAAGGTAACCAAAAATAAGCTCAGGCTGCAATTAATTTGACAAAGTGGAGACAAGAAACAAACTTTTCTCACCTAGGCTATGATCCTCTTTTTTTCTCTTTTCCCATTTTGAGCTATCCACATAGGCTGAGGAAAGAAGAGATCTTCGACCTAATGAAGAGAGAAATCACTATGTAATCTGGGTTGCTTACATAGCTCTGAACAAACATTTTATAAGGTACCACCTTTTTCTGTCATATTTACCAAGTGGGATGCATTAAACTGCCTTTATATCAGTAGCTACTAATGTAAAAATTCAGATTCTTTATATGTTGATCAGCTATTACGTTGTAATATTTAAAACCAAAAAGCTTTCCCTAAAGTTTTTTTTCAGTATGAAACAAGTATTTCCAAACCTAAACTCTGTGTTTAAGAAAATAGCAAATTTGTAAATGTAGGAAAACTCCTCAACAATAAAAGCAATTTCTTTGTGCACAGAGACCTTTTTCATCAAATATTACCAATTAACTAAATGTAGGTTAAAAACACAAGCAAAAAAAAAAAAATCTACAAACAAGCAGGCTTTTCTGTTGTTGCTGAATGGTTATTATTTTCATCTATAAAGGTACATCTAACTGAAAATACTTTAATAATCTCCATTCTTCCGTCTCCTATGAACTGCAGACTCACTGAAATATTTTTGAAAGCTTTTTCCAAACACTCTTTGTACCACCCAAACTGCTCAAGATGCTGTGCTAGCTTTAGAAACAAAACAGAAAGTGCTTCAGCCAGAAGAATTTGTGTATCAGTCACAGATGATGAGGTCTTGAAAATGCATGAGGAACACCTGGATAAAATTTATTGAAGGAAGCTACAAAGACATGCAGAAGGTTGCAGGAAGTTTATGTTATGAAATAAGACTTTTGAAAACAGACACTACAATCCTACACAGAAGTCTTAGCAACTACTTCAAAGCCTTTATCTAAATATCTATCTGCTAGCACTAGAAGTTTGTTTTGGTTGTGAAACAATTCTTCCTTCTCATCCTTCTGAAACGCAATTATACCAACACATCCAGCACTAAACACCTCAGGAAAATATCGTCAAAAATATTCAGAACACAGAATTCCGCAGTCAGACTTCAAAAACATGTACAACACTTTACCAAACAGTTAGAAAATTAAAAACAAAACAAAAAGGTAATTCTGGTTGATTGGTGGTGTTTCCTTTAGCAGTCTTTTTCGTTGATAAAAGAGGCACACAAAAGATTCGGGTGGTTTGGTGTGGCGGGTTTTAGGTCTTTTATTGTCGGTATTTTCCTTCAGCATAAACAAAAAGTCGCACACTCATTTATTCATCATTCACAGCTAAGGAGGGCACTAGCAAGCACGGGGCTTTCCAGGAGCACAGGCCCGGCGTGTGCGAGCGCGGCGCTGAGGGCCGCCGAGGCCAGGCCCAGAGCCAGGGCGGCACGGTCGGGCCGCGCGTCCCCAGCTACCCGGAGGCAGCACAGAGAAACGCGCACTGGGCGAGGGCAGAAGGCGCAGCAGCCACCCATCGCCACCACACTGTACCTAACGTTACTGGGCTGTTCTTCCCAAAGGTCAGATTTTGGCTTTTCCAAAACATCAGCCTTGGTGGCGACACGCACTGCCGCGGTTTGGCGGCCTCCAGTACAGTTCCGCGTGGCTTCCCCTGACCCAAAAAGGCAGGTCCTATCATGCCGACCTATGAAATCGGCACGGGGGACTGCCTACTGAAAAAACAAATTGCGAACAGTCTCCTGCAGTACATACTAGCTATTAAAGGTCTTTTGAGCTATCTCCTATTCCACACATGCACACAGAAGTACAGGAAGAGGGAAAGCTGAATGAAGTCCCTACGCAGCATCCCGTCCCTGCTCATAATCCCCATCGCAGCCGGCGACAACCACGACGACCAGCGGCGCAACCCCCCGCCCCGCCAGCAGCGCACCGACCTGGGGCTGCGCCGAGTGCGCTCCCGCTGCAGAGCACGGCGCGCCGGAGCACGGGGACGGCCATGGCGCCGAGGCCTGAGGAGGCGGGCGGCGGCGCAGGGGAGGCTGCGAGCGCCCCGCCCCGC